TGGGAAAGAATTACCCAGCCCGCGCAATGAATAAAACGGTCAAACAGATGTTATGAACCCTCCTCAGAGGACAAGAAATATAATATACAAAAATAGATATAGGGAACCGTACCCAACATAACGTTGTTGCAGCGTGCAACCCGATTCAAACATGATTCTGTTGCGACGTGCAACCCGATCTGAATAACGTACCCTTGGCGGCGTGCCACCCGATCCACTCATAACAATAAGTAAGGACATACTCATCAAGCCATAATGCTTCTACCTATGGAATACCGAGTATCCTTCATAAGCACGCTAAGTGCAAGAATACCACTCTGGGGAGATGGATAGCGCCTTTCGCTATAAAACCCAAGCACGACTGTTGTGCGATAAATGACCTGCATTTAGAGAGACATCCTGCTCATATNTCCCCCCCTCCCACAGTTCACAACCACAGGAATAGAGCGCTTTCCAAGCATTACATTAACGATAATACCAAAAATCTCCGTACTAGGATTCGATCGTTAATAATCAAGTGACTAGCATGTCACACTCATACAATTTCCCTGTGGGATACGCTCCCACGACCTTCCGCTAATGTAGCAAAGTTCGCAACCCATACCACCGACCGTACTAATCCTGTAAGGCAAATCACAATCCGCAAATCAATACACAATGTTTCTTCCGTAGAACACCTTTCTCAGGTGACACTAAGATAACGCCAGTTCACTCTAAATATCTGAATTCTTCCCTGCTCATCCGAGATCGTGACATTCTTATCAACACCGATCTGCAACCTTGGTCCTCAACTTTCAAATTCCCATGCCGCTCATTGCACGTATCATGCCGCTATGTGAGAATGTACGAGTTCATCATAACCCCTGAACTACCAGTAGAATAAGACTTCATTGGCTAGAAACCTTTCACTTAACTCATTTCAGAAAAACCAATGCAACACGCAGCTGAATTCCCAAACTGTATAAAACACAAACCTCAAGTCGTGATCTAAACCGTCATGACTCTTCCAGAATCCGTTTACACAACCAAGCCATTTGAATCAACTACCTCCCAAATCAATCAGGTCATGGTAGATGTCAAGCCCACACGTACAACCACAAACCACCTGTATAACTTCACACAACGAAGGAACTGATGCTTGTCATAATCATGCTGATTCAGCCATTACTAACCAATCCAACTTCTTTCAATTTACCCTTGACCTAACTTAGAAATATGATAGTTCCATTCAAAATATAACGAACTCAATCTACACTAGTCCCGAGTGACCCGAATCGCGAGACCACATCGTCTCAATACCCATGAATCATCTCATACCCTTTTCACGCGCATAATAACATCTCCAACTGGTACACCCATTTAGCAAGACCTTTCACGAAGCCAGAGCTATTTCTTCCTTTACTCCAATACTGCACCGCATACCCGACGATGACATAGAACATTCCAAGTTACGTTCGCAATCTGCTGTGAAGACTCGGTCCTTAACCACATGACGGACCCAAAGTCTTTAGGCGCTGCACTTTAATTCTTGAATCCACTAAGACCATTGTTGAGAGTCACCCACTCCGACCTGATCTCGAACATAACCAAACTCCAACGCTCTGCTAGCGCATGAACACCCTCTTAAAGAAGCAACCAACTGAATTCTTTTCGTTGTAAGTCACATCAACAAAGCATAAACTCTGAGTCTTCCCAAAACCTGAACATGCATCGGTAAGCTAAATATAGCACGCTTCCCTCATGTTCATGGCTGAATTACCCCTGATATTCCCTTTTCTTAGTCATAAATAATCAGCCAACGTATCGATAACCAGAAACCGTACAAGCAGACAACCACGCGATCCAATCGTAAACGGTAGTGCCCCCCACTTAGCTTTAAGCTACCATCACATAATGCAGAGCCCAATATGATTTCTCCTTCTCAATTACCATGATCTCGCACCGTTAGCCTGCCAGACTTCTCGAAGCCTTTTGTTAAGATTTTCATGAATATTCTGAATCACTAGTCACAATCACATATTCGACCTCTCACTAGGTAGCAAGTAGTATTCTTCGCCGAAGCTTCATCAACATCGTGCAACCGCTAACCTACTCATAGGAGATAACCCACATGTCCTCACCGACATTTTTCCGTGATGCTGCACTGGTTACAACTACCACAAAATCAGTAAATTCTCCTGAGCCCATACTCGCCCACAAGCTGTATAAATCTACTCCTTCCCTATTGACATCAACTGAAAGTTCAACAATACCTTCCGAACTCAAGTCATATTGCACCTGAAACGATAATCAGATCTTCACACCCTCTTCATTTCAAACAAACTCCTTTCTGCCATATTAAATCTTTCTTCGTACAGTAATCATCACTCCAAATAAAATTTGTAGGCCAAATCACTTTCCATCATGATTCCCAAACCGTTCTACACTTTCTCAAGGCACGTGGCTATCCTACCATATAATTCATATGCTAATCTGCCACTCTTACTTCGGTTAAACCATTTCCTTTAAGTAACTTCTCAACCTCTGCTTCTCATAATTGACCTTCTAATACTTTAACCACCATGAAACATTTTCCGCCATGTCTTTCCTCATACTTCACTGCTCAAATGTTGCATCAAATCAAAATGCATCTCTGTGGAACCTAAACCAATAAAATGTTACCGGTTCTAAGCCTCTTCGAAGATTATCTTTCTAGAGCCATCCACATCAGAAATACCAATTCGATTCTGAACCGCTGCACATAACTATCTCTAGCAACTGCCCCTCAGGCACCATTTCACAGCACCCTGCACTGAAGGCAAAATCCAAGAAGACCGTAACTCCAAAAGGCCATAATGCATTCAAACAAGGACGACGACACCGTATCACATTGAAAATTCCATCATGCTCGAAAATATCAAGTCTTGTTACTTCATCAACCAAACATGGGAATCAATAGTCTGATTGCCTTTCCTTCGATGGAATTAAATGTTGAACCCCTTAATCATGCACTGAGAAATCCTCTCTTCAAGCCATTCACTGCCTCAACACATAATGAGCACCTTACCATTACACCAACATTGTGCGATAATAACGCATAGACATCATAGCAATCCGTGCACGATATCAAAACCATAGAAGATACAGATACTGAGCTAGAACAAAAGAACATCCCTCCACAAGGGGATGATAATAGCCTGCCCGAACATGCAGGGAGAAATATCTGGAACCACATCCGTAGTACCACTACAACTCTTGGACGCCCAATTGATAACAAGCGCTTCGCGCCGCATAAGATTGAGTAGGAAAGAAATAAAGGAATAAGCCTCAATGGAATCAAACCGCACGATGAGGAAATCAAGAAAGGAAGTGCTCCTAACAGCCCTATAGCCTCTCCAAGATAAGTACAGACGTCTCCGTACCGATCTGCAAGACTCTACTAGACTTGCTCATGACTCGTGAGACCTAAGTGAACCTAACGCTCTGATACCAAGCTATCATGATCCAAAATCCACTAGTGGTCGTGATGGTGCCTAACACCGCCGCCAAGCAAGCCAATAATGTTTAGTCAATTTAATTACTCATTTTAGTATTCTGAAATCATCATTTTCATTAATTGAATAGCCTCAAATAAAATTTACTGAGTAAATGAAAGTATTTACACAATTACAACAACGAACAACCTGTAGGAAATCCTAAAACCCGGTGTCACAAGTGCATGAGCATCAACTAGGAAATAAAATATAATATAACATCTGTCTGGAATACAAGTTAGAGAGAAAAATATAAATAACTCTGATCGAGACTCTGCAGGCTGCGGTGCGTAACATAAGATGCAGCTCACGGTAAAATCCCCAAAATGGCCGCGCCTTTGCTCCCAAGGACCACCGGACATATGTGTACCTGTACAAAAAGTGCAACAAGTGTAGTATGAGTACGTAAATCAACATGTACCCAATAAGTATCTAGCCTAACCCCAGAGAAGTAGTGACGAGGGGTCGATATCGACACTTACTAGTGGTCCAATAAGACAGATACAGTAAAAGTAAATAGATGTGAAATAGAGAAGATAACAAATCCACTCAAACTCGTAGTACTCATGTAAAGAAACCAACAATATGTGAGATAACAGGTAAGAAGTATACAAAAATAGTAAAATAACATGCGGATATAATATCATGACTGAAAAGTATGACCACAATTAAGGCAAATGGCTCAATATAGCAAAATAGTCCGAACATGTCTCAAACAGATAAGCACATAGCATAGACATAATTTCTAGCATGATAATAGCTCAAGTAGTCTTCATACAAGTTGAGACAACACGGTAATACAAAGGAATATAGTAGCCTAAGGTCTACCCACATCATGTATAACCATGGTGTACACATATACGCTCGTCACCATGTACGTGCGTCACCGCCAACATATAGCAAACATCATAGTCAATACCCTCTAGCCAAGACTAGGCAAGCTAGTTACCTCAAAACGTGCCTCTCGAATCGGCCTCCGAACGGGTCAAATCTCGCCAAAAAATAACTCAATAACGTGAAATTATGCTATATGGATCAATCTCAAGTAATAAAGCTCCAATCATTATCAAATAGCAAAAAGTCAACCAAAATGTCAACTCGGGCCCGTTTTTCGGAGCCCAACAAAAGTCAAAAATTCCGACTACCCATCCGAATGCGAGTCCAAATATACAAGTTTCATCCAAATCCAACTTAGATTCGAGGTTCAAATCTCCATTTTTCACTCTATAAAACCATAGTCAAAATCCCAAAATTTCTCATTCAAACCCCATAATCTAGGTGTAATAATCCATGGATAAACAAGATATATTATTAAAATCAAGTAAAAATAACTTATCTTCTTGCCATGTGCGAAAATCCCCTTAGAAAATCACCCCTCTCCATGTTAGGGCTCTCATATCTACATATATATAATTGAAGGTCCTTGACTCGGTTACGTGGCATTTCTCAATCCCAGGAATTACATTTATCTCATTTCTCCTTTTTTGCCACTTTTTCACTTTTCGCTCATTTTTTTCGCTTAATGTGCTTAGCATTTTTATCTCTCTTTTTTCCACTGACAGTCACTTCTTTACTTCTACTCGCTTACCACTGCCGGTTCCATTAACCGCCGCACCTTTTTTCCACTAACAGTCGCTTTTTTCTATTGTAATTGTTTCTCTTTATTACATATGCATCAAGAAACCTTTCCACTTCCGATAAAAATCCAGACCTGCGAAGAATTTCCTCAAAGATCTTAGGTTTTTACCACTTCCCACGAAAATCTAGATCTGGCTGTGAAGAAATTTCTCAAAGATGGTAGGTTTTTACGTTTTTAGCGTTATTATACGTTATCGCTATCCTTCACTTCTTCACTTCTTCAATGGTATTTTCACTTTACTTTGTCATTAGTGGGGACAGAGTTTGGGACAATGTATGAATGAAGAAATAGACAAAATTGTTCGATTTGATTTGATGGGTAAATTGCTTCAAGAACCTATATGTAGTCTTTTCTTTTTGTGTAATTTTTTGGTCCTATGAACTAAATGCTCCAGTTCAACTTTGATATTTGTATCTTTCATTACTATATATGGTGTGTCATTATTATGGAGTCTTTTGAAATTTTTCCATAGTCTTACAGAAAGGAGTGAATATTTTTATTTTATGTTGTTTTTATATACTAATTCCTATTACAATTTTTTTGACTCATTCTTTTCATTCCACAGGTAAGAAAAGAGAAGTAAAAGAACGAAGCTTCTCGAAGAACTAGCACCACATTGAACTAAAGTACGTATGATCATATTCTTTACTTGCTCTATTCATTTTGAAAGGAAATATACACAACAGAAAATTGGTAAAACTGTTCAGAACGAAAAGAACAAGTTCATCAGCTCAAATAAAAGTAATATTTACCCAAAATATATATGTAAAAATAAGCAATAATAAACGGAAGAATGAAGGTGATTTTTATTGTTTGCAGATTCACCCATAGTTTTTTTTTTTGTGTGTGTTCGGTTCTGTTCAAAAGGAATTTGAAAGTTTGTGACATTAGGTGCTATCTGTCCTCTTAATAGATAGGCAAATCTAGCAGTTACTATCCTTTCCTTAGTAGCTTAGAAGGACCTGATTGCCTTCTAGAAATTAAAACATCGATGGCCTTAGCTTTCTTTTTTAGTTTTATTCATAAATAGTGTTTGGCAGTGATGGATATTGAGATTCAAGAAATAGTTTTGTACCTTTTCTTAGTTTCCATCCATTATTTAGGAATTATCGTGTTGTATTCATGACCATTCTTGTGTTGAAATGAGTCTACTTTTCCTTGGATACACTGAATTCACATCTATTATTACTTAACTTTGGCCAACAATGTTCTCTTTGTGATGAATGTAGTACATGAGATTAATATATCTATATATCGAAAAATCCTCGCTCTTAATGTCATCTTTGGCTTGCATCGGTGTTCTTAAGTTTGATATATTGTATTTCCTCTCAAATCTTGGGAATTATAACTTTAAATATTTATTGTAATTTTTTCTTTTGCAGATATCTCTTACAGTTGTTGAATTGCTTGATCTGATTTATGAGTATATTTGATTATCCATTGTATGTTTCTTCTGTAGTTCATAATAAGATCTTAATACATTTTCCTTCTGGTGCAATATGGAGGACCTATTTACTTCGTTCAAGCTTGAGCTCTTATATTTGCGCTGCAATTTGTTTGCGATTCTCTAAACAATTTATCTTATGAACTTCTAAACATCTATTCTTTTACTTTCTAATGCTTATGGCCGCTATGTAAAATGATTGCTATATTAATTCGATTCAATTGGACAAGAGCTTATCTGCAGAGATATCCTTGAGTGGTCGAAAAATTGTTAGGCGGTCAATATGTAAACTTTTACCAGTGACGCAGGGGTTGTAGATCTGTTTATGAAATTGTTCAAGAGTATCCAACATTTCTACATGGGCACAAGCCTTACAATTCAGGAAAGAAGAGCCTCCAATCTCAATGATAATTTACCTGTAAATTCAAGATAAAAAATTATAGGTGCTACCAAAGTTATAGAGGTTTCGGCCTCATTTTTTAAGAGAAAACTTTTCATTTCTATGCCTTTTCTCATCCTCCTTCAAGGTTACTATGCAGAATATCTATAGATTATAGAACTCCAAACTCAAGATATGAATTTATATATTTTATTTATGTATTAGGACATCTGTCAGCAACATTCCGTAGTCATGATTGCTAATTATTTTGCAGTTGATTGATCTGGTTCTAGCTATGTCTACCTAGAACTGAATACAAATTATTAATAGTTATGAGTTAAAATTTGATATATACAAATAGTTGTGAGTTAAAAATGGATAAATACACCGCGCGGAGCGCTGGTATATCCACTAGTGAAATAAGGAGTCTAAGTCCCAAAATTAAAACTCTTAAAATTCTGCCCCGTGATACGCTTCGCGAACGCGACCCTAGCCTCGTAGTCGCTAAGCGGAAACTACCCCTACCCCAAGAATTCTCTTTGCGAACACAGTCTACCACCTGCGAACGCGATGCTCAAGGTCCATATGCCTACGCGAATGCGATCAACATTTCGCGAACACAAAGGGTTAACCCCAGCGGGGAGCCAGGCTCTCCACTACACAAACGAGAAGACCAACGACTCTAACACTTTGTGAATGCGACACCCTATTCACGAACGCGAAGGACAAAAACTCAGCTGACCAAAAACATTCTTGGCAGTCACGAGACCTGCTCTGCGATCGCGAAGCACACCTAACATCCGCAATTCTTCAGCAATCCAACCAAGCTCTAATAATCTGAAATCCATCCGAAATACTCCCGAGCCCCTCAGGATCCCTCCCAAACGAACCAACCAGTCCCAACATATGACACGAACCTGCTCGAGGTCTCAAATCAAAAAAAATAATATCAAAACTAGAAATCACACATCAATTCAAGCTTACTGAACTAGTCAACTTCCAATGTTCAAAACTCATGCCAAGCCATGCCTAACCAACTCAGAATAGCCCCAAATTTTTCGCACAAGTCCCAAATGACATAACAAACCTATTTCAACTCCCAGAAAACAAATACGAATCCTATTACATCAACGTCAACTGCCGGTCGAACCTATGAACCTTCCAAGCCTTCAAATTTTTAATTTTTTTCCAAATATAGCCAAAACAACATAGGAACCTCAAAATCCAAATCCAGATATACGCCTAAGTCGAACATCACCATACGAACCTATTGTAACCATCACAATACCATTCCAAGTTCGTTTACACAAAAGTCAAACCTTGGTAAACTATTATAACTTAAGGTTCCAACCTTAAAACTAAGTATTCCAATTTACTCCAAATTTTCTCGGAACCAAGCCAACCATACCTGCATGTCACATAACAACAAATACACATACAAGAAGCATAAAATAGGTGAACGAGGCTCAAATTAACAAAATGATAGGCCGCGTCGTTTAGTTCTTCCCATCTTAAACAAACGTTTATCCTCGAACGAGTTTAGAATCATACCTGGGATATAAAAAAGTTAAGGATATATGCTCCGCATATCATGCTCGGCCTCCCATATTGCCTTCTCGGCCGGCTGACTTCTCCACTAAAACTTCACTGAAGAAATATTCTTCGACCTCAATGTTCAAACCTGTCTATCAAAAATAGCCACCCGCTCCTACTCATAAACCAAATTCTCAACTAATTGCACTAAAATCCAACACATGTGACAGATCCTCATAGTACTTCTGAAGCATAGAAACATGAGACACCGAATGAACTCCTGATAAGTTGGGTAGCAAAGAAAATCTATAGTACACCCACCCACTCTCTCCAACACCTCTAATTGACCAATATACTGAGGACTCAACTTTTCCTTCTTCCCAAATCTCATCATACTATTCATAGGAGAAGCTCGAAGAAGAACCTCTTACCCTCTATGAAAGCTACATCTCGAAGCCGCTCTTGAATCAATTTCAACTTCTCAAAAACATCACGAACCAAATATGTGCACATTAACCTAGCCTCACCCATTTGAAACCAACCAAAAAGGGAGAGACATCGCCTTCCAAATAAGGCCCCACACAGAGCCATTTTGATACTCGACTAGTAGCTGTTGTAGTAGGCAAACACCGCTAATGGAAGAAATTGATCCAACTAGCTTCTGAAATCTATGAAACGTGCTCCTAACTTATCATCTAAAATCTGAATAGTTCGCTCGGAATGACCGTCCGTCTGAAGGTTAAATGATGTACTTAACTCAACCTGTGTACCCAACTCATGTTGAATGACCCTCCAGAAATGCAAAGTAAATTGATTGCCTCTACTCGAGATAATAGACACAGGCACACCATGCAAGCGGATAATCTCCCCAATATAGATCTTTGCCAAATGCTCCAATGTGTAGGAAGTCATGACCGGAATGAAATACACAGACTTGGTTAGTCTATTAACAATGACCTAAACAGCGTCAAATCTCCTCAATGTCCATATCAAACCTACCACAAAATAAATAGTGATGTGCTCCTACTTCCACTTCGATATCTCAATCTTTTGAAGTAACTCACCAGGTCTCTGATCCTCATACATGACCTGCTGACAATTCAAACACTGATCAACATACCGAATAATTCCTTTCTTCATCGTCTGCCACCAATAATGATTCTTCAAATTGCGATACATATTTGTAGCACCCTGATAAATAGAATACCGCAAATTGTGAGAATCTTTAAGAATAAACTCTCTCAAACCCATCCACAGTAGGAATACAAATCCGGCCCTGAAACCGCAATACACCATCAACAGACACTTCCTTAACACCATCTAGTGGCATCGTGTCCTTAAGGACAAGCAAATGGGGATCATCATACTAACAAGGATTGATGCGCTCTGCAATAACTCGATCAGTCATTTTGCTTTCTAGATCCCCATTCCCTTTTTTAAGACTCTGCATATGTGCTTTTACAGTTTTATGACTTGCTGAGATGGTTGGTTTGGTTTTGGAATGGTTCGAGTTGGATTTAGAACATTTAGTTCCATCAAATTTCCGAGTAAACAACATCAAAATCAGGATCTGATGGTTCCAATATGTTTGTATGATGATTTTGTACTCGGCATGTGTTCGGATTGATGTTCGGGTTAACCAGGAGCTTTTCAGTGCTTATTGTTGAAAGTTGACTCCTTGAAGGTTTTAGAATTTCCTAAATTTGGTTTGAAGATAACTTTGGTGTTAACGATGTCTGTTTAGGATTCCGAGCCTGATAATAGGTTTGTATGGTAATTTGTGACTTGTGCATAAAATTTGGCATCATCACGAGTTCCCAAAGTATGATTCGTCGCATTCAGAGCTAGTTGAAGATGTTTGAAGTTCATAAGTTGATTAATTTAGTTTTAGAGTGAGATTCTTAGTTTCAATGTTGTTTTATGTGTTTAGAGGCTTCGCGTAGGTTCGGATAATATTATCAAACTTGTTGGTGTATTTGGATAAGGTCTTGGGTAGCTCGGGTATGTTTAAAACCACTCAGAGTTATGTAAGAAATTGTAAAAATTCTGTTGCTGGTTTCCTTCTTCACGAATACGGAGAAAGCCTCGTGTTCGCGATGAAGGTTTTGGGTCTGGGGACTTTTGTTCTACGCAGTCGCAAAAATGGGGTCATGATCATGATGCTTTGGTTCACTGGCCTCCGCATTCGCGATCGCTTGGTCGAGTTCGCGCAGAAGGGCCTTGGTCTGGGGGGTGAGTAAGTCGATGCCCTTCGTGTTTAGGAAGGGTGGGCCGTGTTCGAGATTATTGGCGAGGCTGGCCTTCGCGATCGTGTGGGCCTTGTCGCGATTACAAAGAGGGGTTTTTAGGGCCTTTGCAATTTTGCCTTCGCGATCGCGAGGGCATTTTTGCAATCGGGAAGAAGGATCGCTGGGTAGTAGCATTGTTTAAACACGAGACTTATGTCACGACCCAAAATCCAACTAGTCGTGATGGCACCCAATCCAACCCGCTAGGTAAGCCAAATAGCAATAATCCAATTCAAATGAGATTAACTGAGAAAATTAATGATGAAATAACTGAGCTTTTGTAGAAAACCCCAGGGATTGGTAGTATAAATCATGAGTTTCTAAGATTTAGACTTTACAAAGTTGGTATGAAATAAATGCATCATCTGTTTGAAATGAACATGAACAGATTAATAATTCTAAAGCTACTAAGAACAGGAGGCAGCTTGTTAGGTCCCGTAAAATTTCACCTAAAACCTGAGGTTCCGTGGTGGTGAGGTAGGCTAATATGTTTGGTCGAACAGTGCGCTAGGGAGTTAAAGGACAATGTTGGCAGAAAAAGACATTTCGGCGGGGCCCACTATGCGGCCGCAGAATCACTCTGTGGACCGCAGAATGGCCGTAGAGTGAAGCAGGAAACTAGGAAAGTTTGGATGGTATTGTGCGGCCAATTATGCAGTCGCAAAACCATTTCGCGGGCCGCACATCGACCGCGGAACCAGCGTGAAGATTTTTGTCGGTGGGAGGTTCTGCGGCGCATTATGTTACCGGAGAACAGGTCTGCCGACCACATAATGGCTGCAGAGTGGGGCAGGAGTGCCCAGTTCCGGAGGGCCATTTCACGGCCCATTTCGCGGACCGCAGAAGAATTGTGCGGTCGCATATGTGACCGCAGATCTGTTTCAGAGCTTCATTTTTTTGGTTTTTATTACCCAACCCTATTCCATTATATCGACTCCATAGACCATTTCTTAAGTGAAAACCTG